CAAGAGTGAATAAATAAGTTAATTTTGGTATAAGTTTAAGCTCATTAGCAGATTTGTACTTCCATGAAATTTGTGAATGATGTGACTCGAATGTGATTCATTTTAAATTTAAGTGTCATTCAATTATGTTTTTAATTTTATTCAATACTATTTTTTAAAACTTTCATTTCATAAAATCTTTCTAAATATCATTTTGAAAATTCTAAAAGACGATAAAATATTTTCTTTGAGCCAATAATGAAAATTATCTACTTAAATTAAAAGAGATAATATATAAAGACTCATATCTTCAATTTTCTATTTGAAGCTCATCCACTTAGCCACTTGATTATCATATATACCATTTTCTTCTTTTTTTTCTTTTCACACATGAAGGCTTTAAGCTCCTTTTTATTGCATTGCAATTTCATTCTTAAACACTAACTTAAAGAAACATTAATATAAACAAGCATTTATCATTATATCAAAGCCAATACATATATTCCAACAAGAAATATTAAGACTTAAACCTAATTTTAGTCTTAGTCAGTTATCTATATAAGTGACCCAAATCCATGGAACCTATAAGCGCAAACTCTAACTACATAAAAAAGAGAAAACCTTTTTTTTTAACTTTGGAAAATCTCTTTTTTAGTTAGGAAAAACCTATGAAGGGCTACTATTTGTCCTGTCAATAATTAAATCTTCAGTTATTTTTAGAGATTCCACTTGTCTTATCCATAGTTATATGTCTTTGATTGTTTTTAGGGATATCGTTAAAAGATAACCTTGATTTCCTAAGATTCACTTTGATGGTTCGCCATATTACTAATAACTCCAAAAGTTTTCCTGATTTAGTTCCAAAGACATGCTTGTTTTAGTTCAGCTTCATGTCAACCTTATCAAGAACATCTAAGGTCTTTTCGAGATCCTTTATATGTGATTGTAAAGTGATGCACTTGACCAACATGAACTTAATGTACACCTCTAGATTTTTCCCTACCTGTCATTTGAAGATAGTGTCCTCTGCTCTTTGGTAAGTTCGATGGAATTATCATGTAACAAGATGTTATTGGTTCTAGAGAGGAGTCTTTCTATTGGTCTCTAAGGTGCATAATGATGTGGTTGTAAGAGGAGATACTGTCTAGAAAACTAAGCCAACTATGTTTGACGACATAATTTAGGAACTAGCCAATATTTGTTAGGTAATTATCATTTAACATACATTATTGAGGTCATTAAAGTTGAGACGTGTATCATTTCCCTTTGGCTTTTCTAACCTAGTGACTCTGAACTCTCTTATGAAACCTGCCTTTATGAATTTGGTTATGTCTTCTTCTATAGTAACCTATTACACCATGCAATTTTTTTCATTTTATTAGTTTAGTGCCTTCATTTGGGGACACTATGGTTATCCCAAAGTCCATACTCAATATTTCTTTTTATCTCTATAAATATGTGGTCCTTCTAGTGCTCAAGAGCAACCATTACTATGGTTCAAAGGTAGAGCTAACTTAGAAAACCTTAGATCCTAGCTCAATTTCTTAATAGCTAAGGGGGTGTTTCTATTGGTCGTGAGGGTTATTTTTGTTCAAGCACTTCAAGAGGGAGGTTCTCAACACTAAAAAGTGTGCTTTGCTTACTAGTGATCTTTAATGGGTATCTCCTCGTCCATTTTTAGTCCTCTTTCACTGTCTAACTCGTATTACTATATAGAATTTTATTCTTAAATAAAACAAAGGATGTTAGAACTCTTCAAGTGTTAATCGTAGACCAAGAAATATAGTGTTTTATGTTGATGGCATTTTAACGAGTAATCTATCAAGATATTGCTGCTCCTATATGTTTTTTCATGGTAAGCTAATAGAACCATCGACCTAAGTTACTAAGTAATTGAATCCTACTAGTTGGAGTACAACATGGAAGTTTCACTTTGGGCGTTTAAATGCCTTTTATAGAAGAATTATGTCGAACTTTCATTTTTGACTAGTACTCTTTAAGTTCCAAAATTTGTAGTAATCACAATGATGGTCCATTATTGCAGGACACTCTTCCTAGATCTTCACTTGAGAATGATTTAAACATTATTGTCGCATATATGTTCACAAAGTTGCAAGTCTTGTTATTTTTGAGAATATGGGTGATGGTTTCCTTGGTTCATATTCGATAGTCTTGTACATATGTTTTCCTTCCTTGAGGCCACCTCTAGCTCATCATCCTACATCGTCCTTACCCTCTTAACATTTATGTGTGTGTGTGTTTCTTTATTTTTTTTCTGTTTCTTCACGACTTTTTGAAGAAACATATTAGTGTCTTTTTCTAACGGTTATCTGTACTTGCTTTCCTCAAGTCACTTATGAAGGTTGTTACTTCAAATTCAGGAGTAATATTGTCACAAATCAGTGCTTCAACTAAAAAGTATATGACTTTTTATTATTTTCCTTTTTTTCTTGTAATATGAAAGAATAATGTCAAATTTTTTCTCTATTTTAGGGACATGATGACGTGGTTGGAAAAAAAAAACTTTTGTAATTAAACAAAGAAAAAATATAGAGTTGTATTGCAATGAGGGATACTACTACTTGATCACTCTTTAAAGGGTTGATGGGAAGATCAATCTATAAAGGATGCAAATGTGACTATGGATTAACATCCTAAGCTTCACATACTCAATATGATCTACTAAATTGCTGGCATTATGGTATAAGCCTTTTTTAGCATTTTGAAATTTAGGCAAACTAATAGGGAATGATATTATATTGTTTAGGGGGATGTGTGATACTTTTTCTCTTTAGTTATGGGTACAAGGTTGATAACCTTCCGTCTAGCCCTACCTCCTTAATCTATTGATCTCATTGCTCTTATTGGAAATTTATATCTTATTTTCATTATGTTTCTTACTCTCTCTGCAACAATCTGTTAATTTGTTCAATGAGTTTATTGATCTAGTCAATCGTGGTCTAGTAGTGTTTTGGATTTTTTATGTTGAATCCATGAGCCACACTTTGGTTGTTGTTGCGTAACCATTGTAGTTATCATATACATTGTTGGTGCTAATGCTAGCATTTTTAGAACTTCATATAATAAACTTCGATTTAAAAAAGGGCTTATCAAGTGCCTTTTTTAATGGATTCAAATTATTTTGTTTTCTTCATCATTTAAGGGAATTCCTACATATGAAGCTAGTTGTTATGGTGCAGAACTTCTTAGCCCTTGACTTACAGTTAGTAGGTTTTAAAAGATTTACCATCTAATGTTAAAGTAAGTAATTATGGGAGAGAAATGCTAGCACGTGAAATTGCTCAGAAATGAGTATTTATACAAGGATTTTTAAAAGGTACATGACATGGCAGAAAAATTTTAAGATGTCTATCAAATAACGAGAACATGAGAGTGATTTAAAAAACTCCTAATACGACCAAGACAAAGGGATAACAAATGGGGAAGTAGGCTACTACTTCTGATTGGAAAGCCCTAATACGAAGAGGTCAAGTAGTTCTATAATGGATGAAATATTAGGAACATTTATTATCTCTACAAGGCTTTTTAAAAATAGTATGATGAGATCATAATAGATCTCCAAGTATTTCATGTAAAAAGGATAATCAGGTTGTACTTTTCTACCTCTGCAAGTTGAAGGTCAAAAAGTTTGAATCTGAACCAAGAGTTTTGTATCCCTAATGTTGGGTTTTAATCCCAAAAAGAAAAGTAAGTGCACTAAAGGAAACATTCTGTTTCAAAGTTCGTCCAAAAGATGTACAATAATATCTAGCAACAGTATAGTAAATCTACCATTCTACATTACGTAACAAATTTGGATGAACATATTCGCTTGAATTTCTTTAATATTTGTCTCTACTTAAATATTATTAATACCATTAGTTGATTTAGTAGGTGGTAGCAAATTAGACATATCATTGTTTCTGATTGGTAAATTTCTACATTAGATGCTACATGACATCAGACGTTTAAAAAGATATTTTAATTTTTAATTAATTTTATATAAAAAATAAAAATTAAAAACATAAATTAAAACAAGATAGTAAATTTCTACATCAGATAATACATGACTCTAAAGTAATACAGTTATGTGTCCAACTTATTTTAACATCACAAACTCATTAATGTTGTTGATTGCATCTAATGCATGACCCGAACTTAAAATTTTACCTAAGCAAAACAGTTACAAGTTCAACTTATTGTAACGCCACAAACTCATTAATGTTGTTGATGCCATTTAACAAATACGTACATCAACACAATTTTTAAAAATAGATGAACTAAAATAGTAAAGAATTAATATGCAGATTTAAAAATAATACAATATCCAATTTAGTATTTACCTCATGTATTGGATATAAAAATATTTATATACAAATTTAAGTTTGTTTAGATATAAAAAATTAATTTAAAATATTTGATTTTCTCCCTTGAATCCAATAATTACTTTTAAAGATTTTACTGTACTTTAAAAAAGACAAAATGTACAATTTAAATGCTCCTCGGAACAGCAAAAGTTACCAAACATGCGAAGCCTTCTCTTCCAACCGTGCATGTGTGAACGACCAGAAGCAGGCCATGAAGAGGGGGTTGGGGGGGGGTCTATACGCTCCCAATATTTCAAAGACATCCAAGAATTGCTATTACACTCATCAAGTAACCACCATTTAAGTACAACATAATAAATTTACATTCATGTCAACTCTAAACTACCTACAATCACCTATTTTTAGTTTACCTGTCTTAATTTCTTTTGCCTAGAACAAAGATCACTAGCTGCTTCTGATTTCTAATCCGAAACCCATATACACCAACAGCAAATGTCTACATAAAAATAGCTCTCATCATCAACATCCAAACGACTTCCCTGTATATATATATATATATATATATATATATATATATGGTTTTTCTTTGCTGGTTACCTGCTTCTTCTAAAAATTATTCAAAAAGAAAAAACAGACATCAGAATCTCCACCCTGTCAATGCCGACAGTGTATACAAGTTAGGATGGAGATGTCTTTTTGTCAGAAGAGTAACGCTTATTTGCGTTGGCAGTATCAGTGTTCCCATATACCAATGTACAAGTAATAACCTAAGAACCATTACTCACCAGTACCGCTTTATTAGCTGCTTTTGATGGTGGCCTATTAATTTTCTCAAGTAACCTACTGAATACTAATTTCACAGGTATGCATGCCACTGTTGGAGGGCCCAATGATTCTCGCTTAATAAACCCATCCATTTGGCAATTATTGCTATCATGTATTGCCTTTACACTGTGATTTTGCTCAATACCAATTGAAGCGAGAGTTCTTGTTTTTTGGCTACTAGATAATAAGCTTACTTTCTTTGGCGGCTTTCTTTGACCCTTCTTATCTGTAGGAGGCCGAGGAATGTGACAGAAGCTCTTTTTAACCAGGCTTCCCTTGTGACCGAAACTCCCTACCCTTAATTTCTCAAATGAGGGTTCTCTTCCTTCATCTCGAAAGGCATGATCTTCAGAAGCTTCATCACCATCCAATGATGATAACAGATGAGACCGTGGAGTCCGAGAATTGGTTCTCCTAGCAGTCCTCCATGCTGGTGGAAGTGCTGTGTTTCCATCATGGTATATTGCCTCACTGCTCCAATAATCACATGTAGGTAGCAGATTTTCAGATAAACCATCAGGTATCACTTCAATTTGGATTGGGTGACCTATTATAGCCTGCCCATTGTACTTGCTCATGAGGGAAACGATAGGGACACGTTCTTTCTGATAACTCACTTGGACTTTCAAATCCACATCAATCAACATGGGTTTCGTTCTTCCACCAAAAGGATGACGACTGATGAACATCGGATCCACTTTGTTCTCCCAGTGCCTTTTCATATAAGTATGATCCTCCCACGACGAACTCAAATATCCTCCACCACTCACTTTAACCTTTCGGATTTTAAAATTCGGTCTGCTTGCCTCTTCCCCATCAATATCATCAGTGAAACCATCATTAGCATGAAAAGTCAAGCTCTGTCCCAATGACCTTTGCCTGAAAGAAGCTCCATTTTCTTCCTGATATATTCTAGAGGTGGATCCATTAAAACTTCTTCCTTCAGTATCAGCGGATCTTTTCTTAAGATTGCGAACATTTCTTTTCCCTTTAGATTGCCATTTGGACACCGCTTCATTAGCAGAAACAGGCTCTTGGAGGTACAGGTGAGATATCTCACCAGATAATGATGAATGATGTTCTTCACTGCTCACACTTCCATCATCTAGTGCAATCTGTCTCTCCAAAGCAAGTTTAGGTTCTGTAGGTCCAGCAGCACCTGAAGAAGAGGAGGGAAAATGCTGTTAGTGACAACAAAAAGGAATAATTACAGGTGCATGTAAAAGAGAAATGAACATCTAATACAAGTTACTGTGAACACACATATCTATGCAGTTGTCCATGTCCAACATAATTCCAGTACTTTATATAGAACATACCAAGTCAAACCAAAATCCAAATAAAAATCATAAGAGGTGAAGAAAATCTAAAAATAGAAGAACAGCAACATTCAAAGTAGCAGCATTTATCCATGAACATGGAATGTAAAAAGGCACTGAAAGAAGCTAAGAACAATGCTCTTGCCTTCACTACCCCTTTATCACCCAATACTGTCAAACAGAACAATTTCAAGCTCATAATTAAAAGCCATAAATGGTCAAGACAAATATTATAACTCCAAGCAAACAAAGGCAACTTAGCATCGGGACTTGTGGCACCTGTATGCCATTAAGCAGAAGAAAATGAAATATGTATATTTTATCAAGTAGAAAGGAAAAGGATAAAATGAAATACATGTTCGCAACACAGTAGAGAAAATAAATGGAAGTCATTCACAGCTACAGCTCATGATGCTGCAAATACAAACCTCTTGAAATCCCATGACGACCTAGGAAATTCTTATAAATAAATGCTGGTAAAATGTTCCAAATTTCAAATCAAGCTCATATATGTAAATCTTATTTCATGAAGGGAATATATGAACATTGATTAAGAAAGATCATCTAACATCATACAAGGAAACTAGGCTACGTTTAAACTAATGGCTTCCAAAAATATATGGAATTCAATTACAAATCCCAATTTCTATTAACATTCAAAGCATAAAAATGTAGATTTGAAGCAGCAGAAGAATTGCATTCGCATGCCTAGCTTTATCCTGAATTTGTAAAAATGTAGATTTGAAGCAGTAAAATGTTCCAAATTTAAAATCAAATTCTATATATTGCATTTTTATTAACACCCTTACCCTTCTTTCGGTGCATCATAGGCTTCCTTTATCACAAATTCATCTAGACAAAACCACTTTGTCCTGATTTTCTATTCAGGAAAAACAGACTGCCTGATGATAAGAAATGGTTTTCCGGTAGATAAAGAAAGATCCATAAATATTGTGATCTAGAAGGTTTTTTTAATGGTCAGTTGGAAAATTCACATATTAGGAAGTTGTGATATCGAGGACAGCTATATACATTATTTTTCCTAATGGCACTAATCTGTCATGAAGTAATTATCCATTTTTATTTGTTTTAAATGAAGAATATGTCTGGAACTCAACAATATTGGCACCGTAGCTTAAACATGAGAGCATGCACGCAGAAAACAACTTTTGCACATGCAGGATCTGTCCCTCCTCCCAATACCCTCTCAACAATTTCCATTAATTTGCAAATTTAATTGATATTCTTGAATAAATCTCCTTAGCCTGCTCCCCACCTCTCCCACAAACAAAGACTACAACAACATACCAAAGGCTCCTTTGTTTCTTTTAATTTCCCATACATTTGTCTTGTTGGTCAATTCTACCTGTGTTTTCCTCAACTAGTATGATATTAATCAATTCTTCAATAAAATCACATAGTCTGCCATACATTTGTTTATTGTTGTTTTCAAATTTCTGATGAATCAAATCGGCTAGCTAAAGTACTAAGAGTGGAACTTTTTTTGAGAATAAAAAGTAACTGAGAATGTAATTTTTCTGTTTCTTTTTAAATTATCAATGATTTTCTGTAGCTATGTTTCCTTTTAACCATATATCCCGTCAATCATTCCCCAATAATATCATATGCTCTGTCATATATTTGTTAAGTGCTGTTCTTAAGCAGGATGCTGACTACAGGACCAAAGAAAGGAGCAATTGAAGGGTTTGTCATTGGTGTCTCTCCTTCACTTTGCGAATGACATAATTATATTCCTATCACATGATAACAGGTCCATTTCCAATGCATTCACATTGGTTAGAGTGTTCGAGCTGATGTCTGGGCTTTGCATTAACATGCAAAATGTGGGGTGGTTGGTATTTAATATGGTCAATAGTACAGTGAACAATCTAGCTCAGGCAATATGATGCACGACCCTAACTTGGTCCATTAAATATCTTGGCAACTCCTAGGTGCAAGTCATTTTGGGATGGGGTGATCATTAAAGTGTATATTTAGAAAGAAATCAGCGAATATTTGACAGCTGATCTTTTCCAGACATTTTTATTTAGGATAAGATGACTTTTATGGCCTCCCTTTGGCCAAGGCTTGTTGGAAATACTCTGACCTTGCCCTTGCTATCCTTCTCCTCTCCTATGTTATACATTTTCACTATATACTATGTTCTTTTTCTTTCGCTTCAGCTAGATAACTTATCTGCTGTCTTCTTTATAATGTTTTCCGCTAGAAAAAACAAAATTTCTTGTGAATCAAATCAAAAGGCTAATGTACTACAAGAGAGGAACTTTTTTGTTTCCTTTCAAATAACCAACAAGGTTTGGTAGCTTGATAATAAATATAACTATAATAGTACATGCAACAATTTGTTCCACAAACTAGCAATAAATTCACGGGCATATAAACATCAATGGCATCATAAAGAGGAAAAACAAAACATATGTTTTTGTCGTTTGTTATATTTTAGTTGACTGAATGGGGATCTAACCCCAATTTCAACTTAGCATATTGAAACCATGACGTTGAAACTTCTAGAAAAATAGTATCAATATTATCAGCTAAGATGTTTGTCAACTGATCAAGCATAGAGAAACAAGAATTATGAAAACAGTATGCAATTAACCTGAGAATGCCGCTATTACTTCCTCAATATCAGCCTCAGTTTCAGAAGAATCAGAATGAGACTCGGAAGTGGCAGATTCAGAAGAATCAGTTTCGATATCTTCTGCGAACTCAGCATTCTCTTCAGTTCTGGAGGGATGATGAAAAGGATGGTCAACATAACAAAATTTTGATGGTACTATCTCTACCGAGCTTGTAGAAACTTCTTTTTCCATATTATCATCAGACTCAGAGGGCATGTGCATGCATCTGCCCCTCTTAGCCCGGGAAGTACCTCCCATCTGTTCTCCTCCTGAAACAAATGTAGAAACACTGCAACAGTAAGACTGTGAAAAAAGAAAGAATTCCGTGTTTTTACTTACTAAAATACTTAAATAGGAGGATGGCTCCGATTCAATCTGCTGGCCAAACATTTGCCGGCATGTAACTGTTATTGTCCCTACTTTGAGATCTAGTTATAGACCTAGATATCTAGGAGAAATTAAAAGAATACTTGTTAGATTTTCGGCATTTATGACCTATTTTGAATGTAAGGGCTGATTAGAGAAAACCCAACAATCTCAACAGTAACTCAAAACAATTAAAAGAAATTCTGCTGATCTCTTCTTTTTTTTTTTCATCATATTTTATCTATAAATGCAGTAGAAAGAAATCTTTAGAAAAACTACCCACTACATGTTAGGTAATCATCAACTAAAATAAAAGACTAACTCTCCCACATAATAGTATTAAGAAACCGCTGAACTGTCTAACTTAACTGCATAAATCTCTATTGCTCACTATGCGACCTAAAGAAGTAAACACAAGAAACTCTGCCTAAATCAACTGCATAAACAAAATTAAACACGAGTGCTCATGAACTAGTCTAATTGGATCCTTGCTAGCTGGTTGAGGACTCATAACATTACTCTTTCCGTCAGGGAGGTCTTTGTCCTGTGCAGAAGAAAGAGTAACAAGAGATAGAAGAAATTGCTTCGGTTATGCAGGATATTCAAGCAGAACCTTTTCCTCTTAAATTCATGCCATCAACAACCTCCAAAAAGTTTGTTAAATTGATTCCCAGTAAGAATTTTTTCATCACAGATAAAACAAACTCCATTCACATGCCTCTCATCTATCTCTATCTTGCTCGATCGTTTAAAAGACTGGGGCCTTGAAGTTGAAGAAATTAACTTTACTCTCCCTAAAAAAGAATCATCTGATAGTTCTGCTTCCCTGCTGCTCATACCAAACTCATGTCAGTAGTTACGTCAGTGGACGCTGCAACTCCACCTCAATAGCAATATGGTCCTGAAAACCACTCACAACAAGTTGTACCTCTTGCTCGCAAGTGAGGGTGCTTGCAGATGCTTCCAACTGCTTAAATTGGCTTGCTACTGCTCAGTAGTCCTGGTTTGAAAAAGTTTAGGGAGCTCCGAAAGCATCTCACTCTGAACAGGAGGTCCAAGAGGCAAGCTGCAATATTGCTTGAAATTCTTCTAAGTTAATTCTGCCCAGTCTCTTTCCAATTTAAGAAGCTGCAGCTTTGCATCCCCTTCAAAATGAAAAGATCCAATATTTTTTCTAAATGAAAAGAGAGTAATCCACAATGGTGCAGCCACCTAAGAGATCTAAATTGTCCTCAAAACAAGGAAATCCAGTTAAGCATTAAAACATAAATTTTTCTGCCCCTCCATAATAAAGCTTCCTTTTCTATTTAAAAAGACATTAAAACATAAATTGCCCCATATTTATTTTCTGCTCCTTTTGCACATTGGTAATGACCTTTCTCTATTGATGCTGTCCCCAACCCCATCATGAGTGTCCAGCTTTGTCCCAAGGATGTTCTGAGAGAGTTCCTCCAACTTACTTGCCAACTATTGCTGTTGTTGGCCTCATTTGCTGCTCAGTCTGGCTCTCCTTCAACTCTGTCTCATGCATGATATTTTCTGTACAGCTTCAAAAATGCCCCAAATTGCTGATGAGAAGATCTGAAATATCACATAAGTTACTGCTCAAGTACCAATTTTTATAATTTTGTGATCTAGTGATGTGCCTATTTATAGAGGAATTAGGAGAAAATTACAAGAATACTTCTTCGATCTTCTGCCTTTTAGGACCTATTTTTGCAAGTACGGGCTCATTTAGAAAGAAGTCAACAATCACAAGAGATTAAGGAACTCAAAAGTTAGAAAGAAATTCTGCTTATCCACCATCCATCAGGAACCAGTTAGAGGTAAAGGTGTTCTCATAGACTACCATCCATCAAAAGCTTAACACAAATGATATGCTTCAAGTTCATCGACCGCACCGAGCCTTATTTCCAAATATATGCTTCATGTGCTTCAAGGGGAAGGATACTCATTCTCATCTGTTTTTACGTTGTGCTACGGCTTAGAAGTTTTGGACTAATTTGGTTAGTTTTTTTTCTTGAAAGAAAAGTGTAGAAAATATACTGATATGATGCGTCAAGGGGACACCGCCCATGTACAAAAGATTTACAAGTCAATAAGAATATCTACAAATGACCCTAAATCTTCAAAATGGTTAATGTTATGTTCCAATCCAGTGGAACCAAAAAAATAATTTGCTCACAATGTTGCCAAATATTTCTTCCTTTCCTTCAAAGGCTCTATTGTTTCTCTTTCTAGATAACCCAGAAAATTGTGAGCAGAATGAGTCTCAATTTCTTGTTTTTCCCGCACACAAGATCCCAAGCTAATAATTCTTCTTGAACAGATCCAGCCATTACCCAGCTAATGTCAAGTAGACAATATACCATACGCCACAGCTTGTGAGTGATAAGGCACCAAAGATAAAGATGGTTACTAGTTTCAGCATTGTTTTTGCATAGATAACATCTGTTGGAAAGGTAAAAGCCTCTTCTCATAAGGTTCAGTGGTCAAAATGCATTCCTTGGAAGCTTCCCAAGTGAAGAAGGAAATTTTGGTGGGAGCATTTGCCCTCCAGATCATTTTGGCAGGAAAAGAATTTACCAGAATTCTGTTATGTCCCGCAAGATAATTATAGTATGATTTAACGCTGAAGGAGCCTTTGTTTTCCAACTTCCAGATCAACCTATCATCAGTGTTGCTGAGCTTGGTGTTCAATACTGCCAGCAAATTCTCGTATTCCACTATTTCCCAATCTTTTAGATTCCTATTGAACACAATGTTCCAACCAATGCCATCATTTTGTCAAAAGCTTCCTCAATTGTCATCTGTTTATCCTTAGCGAGGGCAAAAATAAGAGGAAACCTGATTTGCAGATTATAATCTCCACACCAGAAATCAGACCAGAACTTGACTTTGTTGCCTTTTCCCACTTTCCATCTAGAACACTCAAGAACAGAATGATTAGTGTTAGAGATTCCCTTCCACAAGCTCATGCCAAACTTACTTCTATTCAACAACATCTGATCCTGTCTTCCCTTCAGATTCCACTTGCAATCCACCACTTTTTTCCATAAACTGTTAGTGTCATTCCAGTATCTCCAAGCCCACTTACCATGCAAAGCCTTATTCAGAATTTTTAGGGACCTGGACTAATTTGGTTAGTATTTTTTGCTTCAACTGGGGTACCCCCAAAATGTGGAATCTCCTATGCTCTTTTATTCGTGGAGGAGGGCTCAAAAAGAATGTCATGCCTCTTTGACAAGGGGTTATATTTCCTGGGTTGTGGTGTTTATGGCTGTCTCGAAACTGTCGGACCTTTAAAGATCACCACACATTTTTATGAGCTATGGGAAAGAGCTACCTCTTTTACTATCCTTTGGGATAAAGCGCATGGACACTATCATTTTTCAGTTTTTTGAGAATATAGAACTTCATAATACTTGTATTTCAGCACTTCATCCAAACTGGAATGCTATTATTTGTATCCTATAGGGTGGTACCACTTTGTAATGATTTTTTCTTTTTTCTTTTTGTTTTCATGATTCTTTAGTTGTACTTTCCCTCATTCTTCCTGATAAATCTTCTTCTTTTATCTGAAAAAAATTCTGCCTATCTACTTTTTTCCATTAAATCCAGTCTGTAAGTAAGTTAGAAAAAAAAGCTTTAAAAATCAGTGATACATGATAGGTAACCACCTACTAACATAAAAGATTAAGTTTCAAACATAATAGCCTTAAGAAACTGTTAAACCACCTAACTTAACTGCATAAATCTGTATTTCCCACTAAATTGCATATGATAAGAAACTGTTCTGTCCAATTCAATAAACAAAATTAAACAAAACTGACCATCAATCACCTTTATTGAATTCTTCCCTGTAGTGGATTAAGGACTCATAACAGTGACCTTTCCATTTAGGTAAAGAACGTTATTTTAGAGGAGAAAAAAAACACAATATATCACCTTTACTGAATTCTTCTCTGTAACAGATTAACGACTCATAACAATGACATTTCCATTTAGATAAAGAACTTTACTTTAGAGGAGAAAAAAAAAAAGAAGACAATATATCACCTATACTGAATTCTTCTCTGTAGCAGATTAAGGACTCATAACAGTGACATTTTCCATTTAGGTAAAGAATGTTGTTTTGGAGAAGGAAAATAATAATAATATATCATTATGGTAAAGAAGTCTTACTATTTGAATGGCTGGTTCTTCCCACGTTAAGGTCACAACTTAGAGATCCATAGTTACCATCAGCTATAGGCTTTGCAGAGTCATCAGGACCTGTAAACTTTCTCTTGGAAGTTCCCGTTCTAAGCCCAAAGTCCTGCAAGCCCCTCATCCGAGGTAAAACTTCAGACTGATCATCCTCCCAGCTTGGTTGGTTTCCTTCTTTTGCTTTTTGCAAGTATAGAGGATTGCCAATATGTTCATCTTTGCAAAATGTATCTTCTTTCTTCAATGTTTGACTTGACTTAGAATTCCCAGGTTTTCCATTATTAACCTCCAATCCTCCAGAAAAAGTAACTAAATCCTTTTTTTCCAAAGCAGATGATTTACTTCTTCCGCATTCAAGAACTAATTTTCCTTGTTTTCTTAACAGTTCCTTCTCAAGCTCAAGTGCATGAAGAATCGCATCTTCTCGACGAGCGTATTTTTCTCTTTTCTTTATTGGCATTCCCTGGGAAGATTCTGCCCGCTCAATGCAATCGTCAAACTCACCACATCGAAATGCCTTGACCCGCTTAGATTTCTCTAAATTGTACCAGTCTCTGAAAAACATACCAAGATACCTTTTAAAAATTGAAAACAAAGTGGAAAAAAAGGGCAGTGGCATGCATGGGGAAGGACAGTAACTCGAAATACTGGCCAGAAACTTTTCATCCACACTTCTTTCTTTATTTTCAAAAAGTCAATATCGTTATCTTGTGTCGGTAGTAGGGGGACGTAAAAATACTTGGGCTACTGGGATACTTTTATTTAATAAGCCGAGAAGGAAAGAGTGTTGGAGGGGGGAAATGTAATTTAATGCCCATTATATTTAACAATTTAAAGTAAGAACCACAAATAGAAGGTAATCAAAAAATGGAAGCTGCAATTATTGCAGTACCACTTTCACAGTGACTAACTTCTACTAAGCAATAACGCATGCCCACCTTTTGCTGAAAAAGGAAAAAGTAAACTAAATGAATCCCAAGAGATTAATTCCAAACTAAAAAGAGAATTCTTACTCATAATTTCAAAAATGTAAATGCCTATAAAATATCACTTTAGAAATGCTGATAAAATAAAGACATGCTAATGGGCACAGCCACACCTTCAAACTATAAGGCCAATATACAAAAGAGATATGCCCCTACTGCTAAAAAAAATGCAAATAACAAGAAGTTAAAAGGAAAACTACTTGTAGTCAAGGACCTCAGAACTAAATTGACCCTAACTAGCTAAGCAGACAAGAGAAAAATTAAGAACCTGCATCTAGGAAGAATAAATGTCCCCAAATACATAGGAAACTCCAGTTATAGAACTCTCACGTCCAACTGTCTAAACAAAAGTTTTAAGTAGCTTTAAGCATAAAATACACTTCAACTTCAATAAATAAAATTTGACAGTACTAATAGGCATTGTTAAGAACTAAACTTATAAATCTAACAAAGAATGTTATCAGCAAGAATATCCACCAATTCAGTGATCACAGACACAGTAACAATCCAATTTAGTAATTAGGAATATCCTAAACGTGAGGACAGCATTTTCCGTAAAAAGTGTATACTTGTCTCAAAAGGATTTTTAACCTGAACCTACCTGCTCTAGCAAATTAAATTGAATTACTCCCTAAGTGATAAAATAACATTTTAACATATTATTTAGATTATCCTTCTCAAAAGATGTATTCTTTAGATGGTCAAATCACCTGATAACAACAGTTACCTGTTCATTATACCTTAGAAAACTGCAATTATCCTGTCCAACTCTCACCCTATCAAATTTTTCACCAGGAAGATTATTGCAAAAACATCTTTTTGAAGAAGAGGTGGGGTAGGACTCAAACTTGAGTGATCTAGTTACACTAGAAGAGGATCATATTATCTAGGCTAGATGCTCTCAATCACTTCAATAACTTCTTTTTAATAGAAAATTAAATATATTGATAGAAAGAGGAGAAATAGGTACAGACACAGAAGACAAGATTCCTCCTAAAATGACAATAGAAACTACATTAAATTCAAAGCAAGACTTCTTCCCAGTCCCTTTGCAGAAAATCTAAAGAAATAAAAGAACCCATGGGCCTTTGTCCATGAAGAAAGAAGAGAACCAATCTGTCATGAAAGAAAGACTGAAGGTAGTGACAATCCTTGAAAAGCCTAGCATCACAACATCAACAAAGCAGCATAAAGTGCTCCTCTCTAAAGCACCATAACTTCCTCTCAACCCACCTTCATTAAAGTACACAGAAAGAGAGCATTCAAGGGAAGGGGGAACAACCCACATATCAAAGGTCACTAGACCAGAGCCCCAAGGGAGATCAAGATGTACAAAGAGACGACATTCAGCCTCCTTGGAGCACATAACACACACATCTATCTGGAGAACAAGAACACTTCAGCCACTTGAAAACACTGACGAGGAAATCAAATGCATATATGCATGATACTTCTTCCCAAACCAGAACAAGAACCAGAACTTTAAAACCTAGTGCGAAGACTTACTTTGCATGAAAAATCAACGGTGGGTTCTAAATTATGGAACCAGTTTCCTAGCAAATGCCCTCCTAGAATGGGTTTTGAGGGTGTTGTTTCTTTTCAAGGGTCATCCCCTTACTTTTTACGTTTGATGTGAACTTACGGGATCTGAGAGACATATTATGAGTTTTGTGACTGTCTCCTATTTTGCAGGTGAATTGCACCCTCTGGTGCCTTGTTAAAACATTTCCCTTTTTCATCTTAAAAGAAATAGGGTAATCTCATTTCCAGTAAAGCATATTTCAATCACTTATTCAAGCATAAAAATCATCCAACTCGCTGACCTCTTTGGCGTAAGAAAATAAAAAGACGAATTTAGCAGTTGAGAAAGCATCACTATACTAAATGCAACAACATTTTTGTCAGGGAACAGAGTAGACTGAAAATATAGACAGAATAAGTGATTATATACGGATAAAGAAATTTCCAAAAGGCAGATAGAGATGTTAGCCTTCAAATTCGGCGATGTTGACCCTCATATCCATTATCCATCCATAACTGAAGATGCTGAGGTCATGCACATGTTGAAACTCATTGTTCTGACACATGACTCTTTCGAGTCCCATCCCGATTCTTGATACTAAGGCAGGTAGGGAGGAAGAACTAGCATATATGGGTGCGCTCTTATATGAAACTAGGATCCATAAAATAATGATCCACATGCGAGGGTATGCATGTGAAGTTTTTTTCTTAGATAAAATTTCTTCTAGAAAAATAAAACAACGATTGTCAGTTCATAATCAAAATGCACCTGTCAATAAGGATATGAATGACCAAATTTGAAGTAAAAAAAAAATCCTTCAACGCAATTCAATGAAACTGATATACAATTGGGAAACGTACACACTAGCATCTTCTCTGCCTAGAAGCTTGACCGGAGTTCCTGATCGCGGCGATGTGAGGTGAGACGCAGCAAGCTCTTCAGGACCAAGTATCTTCCCCGGCCACCAGGAGCCATTCCTCCTCCTCACCCATACGATCGACCCCACACCACAATCAACCGCCCCTGATCCTGAGCTGCCCATCTCTTTCGTTTTTCTCTTACTTAACTACGTAAACAGCAATTTGACAAGATGAACCAAAAGTTCACTTTCTCTCTATCCAGAATCAGATAATCACTGCCTACAAAGGCCCACGTGAGTATATCTAGGGTTCAGCCTCCGGCGAAAAAGAGAGAAAAACAAAGGATCCGAATGCGGGGGAAAGAGGAGAATCGGAGCGGGAGAAATCGGGTAAGGATTAGGGTTTCCATTCAGATTTGGAAAATTAACATGTCTAGGGTTTTCAAGTTAAATTCTTTGGTATCTAGAAGTTTCCGCGTGCGTTTGATTTATCATAAACATAAAAAAGCTGTCTCTTCGTGTTTGATTGACGGGAGGCGCCGGACCGGACTAATACATAGATGGTGGTGGTGAGTAGCTCACCGATTTAGACAGGTAGACTCGTACGAGTTTCTTGTTCACACGCCTACTCACTCTACTCAGTTAAGCTACCCCCATCTCGGGCCGGTTCAACCCACTGGTTCGGATCCGGTTTCTTTTTTATATAAATTTTGAAAGTAAAATTTTAATTTAAATAAGAATATGAATAATTTAAACAAAATTTATTGGTTGGATCTACATGAGAAATTGATTATCTATTTGAATTGTAAAAATAAATTATTATTTTTATATTTAAAATTAATAACTAAATTTTATAATTAGGTATTAAATTTTATATTTAAAATTAATTTTTATTCTTATCACAGACCACACTCCTTCTTGTAGGGTAATGACCGGAACATATTTATTTAAATAATATAAACTCAAGTTAAGTAAAATAACTTAATTTTATTAATAATAAAAGAGTCGTAAAAGTGTTACATTTCTTAAATATAAAACATAAACATATACACGAGACTCTAAATTTTCTTATTTACATTACTAAACAAAAATACGAAACATTAACCTTAATATTAGAGTTTAGGCTTCAGAGATTTCCTCTGTATCACCACTCACTCTGTAGCGGTATCTTCTGTATCTGGAGGATGATAAGAGAAGTGAGATAAAATATCTAAATAAGTAATATTATGAAATCACAAAATAGTACATGTAAAATATAATTTCTTTACACACAACAAAACATATATCATATAATCTTAACAAAGTATATACGAATCAGAAAATGAAAGCACAAATAGGAAAACATATGCATGTTGTATACTTCATCACTATTATAGAGGATTAATCAGTTACCATACATTATGCATAGGCACAAACACTTAGTTCCCCATGTACCCGAACACGGAACGACATACATGAGTATCTTGAAACACTGCTACCATTCGAACACGAAACGGTTAGGGCACGCATATCAAACTATTTTTCCATACACCCGAACACAGAACAATTATGTACGGCCAGATTGAAGCCTAGCATAATGTAGGTGCTTTCAGATAACTTCTTTTCATAATGAGTGATGCACACATATTAAAATCACATTTTGAAAACATAAAGCAAAATAACATTTATAACGAAGTAAAACTTTAACAAATACTTACTTAACAAATATGAAACACAAATTAAACATGTGCACATTTTTATACTGAAAATATGTAAAATACTTCAAAATTACGTAAGGTATAAATTCATAATATCCACTTACCTTAGATCCTTAGCAGTCGTAGTCTTAATTTCAGCAAAGTTTCGACTTAATTTATGATTTTTTCTTCTAAAAAATTCGACAAAGTTTTGAGATAATTTTTGGTCACTTTCTTGATTTAAAAATATCCAACACAATACTAAAAAATTAATCTCAAAAATCAAAGAGAAACCGAACTTTAAAACTTAAGAAAAACTTACCTTTCTAATGGTTTATAGCTTCCTTTGATCGTGAGCCTTATTCTTCTTCTCTTCCTCTTTTTATGCTCTACAACTTTAACAGAATTTCTCCAAGGTTTTTATCTAAAACCTCAAAATACTCTCAAATATCAAACACTTCGTACTCCATCTTCTTCATTCACCTCTATGCTTCTTATTATTTTTCTTTCATTTGAAATGTCTCTTTCTCCCTTCTCCTATTCCCTATTTATAGTAGTGGGGAGTCACGAAGGAAAAGTTGTCATTATTCTGTCTTATTATTTCATTTAAAAGTTGTCACCTTTCATCATGTGACTTCACTTAAAATGTTACCACTCTTCACATGTCGTTTTACCTAAAAGGCCTTTTAACATGCCACTTTATCTAAAAAGTTACCACTTTTCACATGTCATTTTATCTAAAAAACCTTTTTACATACCACTTCATCTAAAATGTTACCACTTTTCACATGTCACTTTATCTAAAAATTATCATTTTTTGTTATGTCATTTTGTCTAATAGTTATCTCTTTTCATTATACACTTCATTTAAAATATTCTCACATTTTCTCGTACCTCTTCATACTTATTCTAGCTCCTTCATCCTTATCCATCCTTTTTCGTTTGACTCTACACTATGTTTTTAATCTAATTATATATTTTTAAATACATACAAAGCTAAATTAAATATATTAGATATAAGAAATTAACTCAGAGATATTTTCAAGCTATCACATCCTCCCCCCCTTAAAAAAAATTTGGTCCTCCAAATTGGACTTACCAGTAGTCATAAACAGATGTGGGTATTTGGCATTCATTTCCTCTTCTGGCTCCCATGTGGCTTCTTCAGTCAAATGGTACTACCATAATACCTTTATTAAAGAAATTACCTTGGACCGTAATATCATTTCTTTGCAATTCACTATCTGCTCATGAAGCTTAATGTAGGATAAGTTATTCTGAAGTGCAAGGGGTTTATATCGAAGTACATGCATGGATATGGGTGATATTTCTTTAACATCGACACATAGAAGACATTGTGTTCTAGCTAACTCAGGTGGCAATGCTAAACGGTAGGCGACAGCTCCCACTTTACCCAATATCTCAAAAGGTCCAATAAATCGATGACTGAGTTTTCCTTTCTTTCCAAATCTCATAATCCCTTTAATTGGTGAGATTTTCAGAAATACATGGTCGCCTACTTCAAATTCTAAATCTCTTCTTCTATTGTGAGCATAACGTTTCTGCCTATTTTAAGCTGTCAGAAGATATTTCTGGATCAATTTCACTTTCTCTGTAGTTTCTTCCACTAATTCAGGTCCAACCAATTTTTATTCTCCAACTTCTTCTCAACAAATAGGTGATCTGTAGAGTCTTCCGTACAAAGCCTCATAGTGTGTCATTTGAATGCTGAACTGATAACTATTGTCATACGGGAACTCAATCAGAGGTAAATGATTGTCCCAATTACCTCGTAACTCAATGACACAGGCTCGTAGCATATCTTCTAGAGTTTGAATTGTCCGTTCTGATTGACCATATGTTTGAGGGTGGAAAGTCGTACTAAAGGATACCTTGGTCCCCATAGTATTCTATAGACTGGTCCAAAATCTTAAAGTAAAACGGAGATCTCGATCAAAGACAATTGTGATTGAAATTCTATGCAATCTCACAATCTCCTTGATATAGAGCCTGACCAACTTATCTAGTGGGTCATTTACTCTGATAGCCAGAAAATGAGTAAACTTGGTTAATCTATCAACGATAATGCAAATAATATCATGTTGGGATCTTGTTTTAGGCAGACACACCACAAAATCCATAGTAATATGTTCTTATTTCTACTTTGCTACCAAAAAGGGTTGAAGTAGTCCTACTAGTCTCTGACGTTTAGCCTTCACTTATTGGCATATCAAACATTTAGAAACAAACTCTGCTA